CGATACCTGTTGAGGGCATTTGGTTATTAATTTGTCTCTAATAGTAATCATTTTTTTGTTTTCAAATTTGTATCATGTTGGGCAGTAGAGGGCAGGCTTGTCTCAGTTTTCACTGAAACGCATTCTCAAATATATTGTTTCTTTTCTTGTGTTTTTACCATAAACCTGTCCCATGTATGCTTACCACAACTGTTGTTCATCTAGTGTATTTCTATCTGTTGATACTCCCACTGTCACAATATGTGACTCACTGTACCCCTGTGTGTATCATTAGAGAGGCAAAAGGGAAAGATAGATAGGATGATTAATGTTGCCTGACACATTTTCTTCCATCCATACATCTATCCATCCTCTTCCACTGCCACTATAATCCAGGGTGCTGATCAGGCATTGTGGGTAGCAGCTTTCATCCTTTCTGTCTCTCAGTGATCATTTTAACAACTTCCCCTCATCCTCTGGGTGTAGAGTCTCCACACCACTGGCATATTTCTCTCTAAGCCCAGCGTTGGTGAGGAGGTCTACAATGAGGAGTCTTGTGTTTCTTCTGTTAGGTACACAAGCAGCTCTTCTCCATTTCAAAGGTAAACAGTGTCCCTGCTGAGTTCATTTACACTGCAGGACAGGGATGTCTCCATCATCCATACACTGTAAATCCGAACAGCATATCTTAATAAAATAAGTACGCTAACATACTTAATCTTCCAATTAATTTTTAATCACTCGTTCCGTTCTCGTTTTAAGTATTGGTTTGTTCCATTGACTCACTTTCTTTAAGTTGACTTTATTTCATTACAAAAATGTAAGCCCCAGAGCCCCAAAATGAATTGGCTACTATTTTGATAATGGATTAGTTGTAAATTGCTTTTATTATATGTTAACTCTTTTGACAGCAAGAAAACATCTGTATAAAGAAGATTAATTTACGTTTACACATTTTAAATAAGTTTGGAGAAATGCTGCATATGTGTGTAATATACCTGCTAGTTCTAAGTACAATTAACCTAATTTACCTTTCCTTAACAATAAATGAGTTACTTGTACTCAAATCAAATATTAAGGCCACCTTAAATATCATGAATTATTAATCCAAACCTTACAATCATGAGGAAAAAGGCCAAGTTAACATGTTGTTACCTACCTTATTACTGGAGCCTCGTTAGCCTTTTTAGCGTGTTGTCCGCTAGTTCCCTAACCATGCTAGCTTGTCTTTTAGCATTTTGAAATGTTTTTTAAAAATATATTAACCAGGGTTTGGAACTTAAAAATTTCCACCACTGCATTATACTAATCTGTCCACCCCATTTATGTCAGTAATGGGAGGACTAAATATTATAAACAGCTCTCAGTGTCATATTAAAGCCCTCCAGATGTATTTGCATTTCTTGACCTAAAAATCAACATCAGTGCTGACTGATGAACTCTGTTGTCATCCATTTACAAAAACCAAACAAACTACATGTTTCCTTAGTAAACATATTTTCAAACCATCATTGTGAGCCAAGATCCCATCTAAATGTAACAAAAATTTCAGATAAATTTGCCATTAAACCGCTGCAGAAGAAAGACACAACAACATGACGTCCTTAAAAAAGATTGTTTTAATTTCCTGCATTTCTACTCAGGTTTTCTTAAGTGTGAACTGGAAATGTGCATAAAAACAGGCTGTTGGAGATGCATGTACATACATGAATTTAACAGTCCTTCCTTCCCACACCTGAAATAAAATATTCTGAGGAGGAAAAAGAAAAGGCGTCAAGGGGAAAAATAACAGCGTCCGTCCTGCAACAATAAGAAATAGACCTACTATGAAATATGTATAAAAACAGTGCGAGTTATGCTATTACGCCTTTAAAAAGTTGTATTAAGAAGTTTTTTATGAGAGAAGTGCTTTCTTAGAGGCTATATACTGATTTTTACTATCTCATTCCCCCTGGGATCTGTCTTGGCAGAGACATACTGGACTATACTCAGTTCTTATGTTTGTCTTATATCACTCTGTGCCAGACAATCACTTATTGTTATTGCTTTTAGGGCCATTCGAGAAGACACACTGTCCGTGCTGTGTGTTCTCTGGTCTATTTGTCTTTGGGCCAGCAGCTGTTTTACTACTCAATGGAAATAGTGAATGGCATTCAGGAGACGCCGCTGAGCTCTCAGAGCTTTTACCTGCTGTGTTGTTCATCATTATGGGTAAAGAGTGACCTGCTGAGCAGGAGGGCTGCTCTACTGTCGTTCCTTACTTCAAACTGAACCTTGATATGTCTGTGAACCCAAAACCACAGATGGAAGCATCTGACTCACCAGAGGTACATCAGGTGATTTACTATCTCTGGGTCGACATGTCAAAGTTCATCTAGGCTGACAGACCAAGACACACTTCTCTCAACTGCAGAATCAATGTGGCCATTGTAAGGTCTACAGAGGTACGTCAGTATGAATGAACGGTAGCTGATTTGCTGCGTATCACTCAGCAACACTCTTTAACCCGTGAT